CGCGAGTGGACCGCGCGGCAATATTCGGCGCGGGTCGCGCCCCCCCCCCGCCGCCCCCCGCGCTCGCGCGCAGGCGTTCGAAAGTGCACGACGCCCTGGCGCGAGAGGCGCGTTTGGCAGAATGCGCCCAAAACGTTGGGAAACCTGCGGTTTTGTCAAGAAGACGCAAGACCGCGACCGCAGCATTTTTTCCACAAAAAAAAAGTTTTGACGTGTCATTCGCTATCAGCGCGTTTTCGGAGCACGTTTTTGAAGCCCTTCCGAAAACTTCCGTTTTTGCAAGAAAGGCACGCGCGCGCATCTGCGCGCGCGGGTGCACTTCGCCCCATGTGTCACGGGGGGTTCTCGCGATGGCCCGCGGGCGAGGGCGCTCTGCCAATGTTGGCGCTCTCGCGCGGGGGGGCCCTGTCGAAGTTTTTCTACGAACATGTTGACGCGCCTATTGCTTCTAAAGGCTTAGCATGAGCGCGGGCGCTGGTAAGCCAATCTCTCGTTTCGAAGCCGCGTGTTTTTCAGCGTTCGCAACGCTCGAGTTTGACCAGTTTTGCGAAACACATTTTGAGTTTTCGAAGGATTTCGGCCTGCGCGCGCAAAGATGCGCGCGAGTGAATTTCACCCCATACGTTACATTGGGCCGTTGGAAACTTATGATTTGTCATGAACGAGCGCGCTGGTGTTTTTGATTTTTTTTTTCTTGCAGGGGGCGTTGGGGTTGGCAGGCGATGTCTGGGCCGGCGTGGCATGGGCGCATATTTCGGGCGCGCGATGGGGCAGAAGCGCGCGCGCATTGCAATGCGACGAGGTGGCCCTTCAACCAAGGGGTGTCGATCTTCATTGTTTTCCAGGTATGGGAATGTACCGTGGTAGGTGTTGGCTTTCAATTTACGGTGGTCATCATCCGCGGCCCAAGCTGGGGTCGACCCGCGCTGCGAGGATAAGCGGATGTCCTCGGGTGCACTTGCACCTTCCCCCTCGGGCTCATCCTCGGTCACCGTTGCCGGCCGCGCCCCGCCCGCGAAGTGTCAAGGCGGCCTTCCAAGGCCATGCGTGCGCGGCGCAATCTACGCGGAGGAAGCGGCGATGCGTGACAGATTCGGCGCAGATTACGTCGCTCAGTTCGCGCATGCTCGCAGTGAGTTGTCGAGTCCGTTGCTCGCGCAATCGCTCCGCCCACCCGCCCGCAACTACGCTCGCAATGCCCATGCGACGGCGACTTCGATGAGTGCCTGGCGCCGGCTGGTGCATCGCCGCGGCCGCGTTGGCCCGCGCATGCTCGCGCGCGCAGCGGCCTGCTCGCGCGGCGCGACCGACGCGGCCGCGGTGGCGCTGATCGCTGGGCATGTTCCAGCGGGCGCATCAGCGCGCGTCGGCGACTTGGGCGGGCGGCGTACCATGGCGACGCCGACCACGGAAGACGCGATGTTGAGCGCGGCGATGATGGTCGCGACCGCGGCGACGACCGCGGCGAGACCATTGCGGTGCCAGCGTTGATCGCGCCCGCTGGCACCGATGGCGATGTCCTTGCGTCGGCGATGAAGGTCGTCTGGATGTTTCCGGGGCGCTCGTTTTTGAAACTTCGAGAGTTGTTTGAACTTTTTCCTGCGCGCGCGGGGCGACGCGCGCGTGCAATTCGTTTAGCTGTTTGCAAGGGGTGATTGCGACGACGCGCACAGAGGCCCTCGTGCGATTTCCACATGCGCGCGCGAGAGGCCCGATTGGTAGCGCGTTACGAGCATGTCGATCAAGGTGTGGCTTCTCATGGATACGCAAGAACGCGAGCGCAAGTTTTTGTGGTTTTGAAACGGCGCGTTGGGAAACCAGTTGGTTTTATATTTTCGTGGCGCTTGATTTTGATGCCACCTGCGAGCCATGGGGGCTTTTGCTGGTGTCCGGCATGCGCGCGCAACGCCGCGCGCTTGTGCACTCCGCCCCGTCGGTTGCAAGGGATTCTTGACAACTTGTGGTCTTTGATGAACGAGGGCGCGCGCAAATGTTTGTATATAAGTATTCACTTCAACAAACAATTGGGGGGCCGAGGATGAGGAAGGGAAGCGTTGCTGGCCTGGCTGGGATGGTGCGAGTCCATATTTAATGCGGGCGATGGGGCAGAGTCCTGCGCAACATGCAATGCGACAAGGGGGCGGTTAAATCCAGAGGGGGGGGGGGGGGGGGGGAGTCCGAATAGTTTCTCGAAGAAGAGAACCGGCGTGTAGAACGTGTAGAGTGGAGAAATGACGCGGCACAACCTACGCGGCGCAACCTACGTGGCGCAGTTCACCCTGCCGAACTTGAAGTTGTCAATTCAACTGTTCGCGCAAACATCGCACCCGCCCGCCCGCGACATGGCTTGCGCGACCCATGCGACGGCGATTGCGATAAGTGCCTGGGGCTGGCTGGTGCATGTTCGTGGCCGCGCTGGCCCGCGCATGGTCGAGAGCGAAGCGTCCAGCAAGTGCGGCGCGGCCAACGCGGCCGCGGTGGCGCTGACCGCTGGGCACTTCCCAGCGTGCAATTCAGTGCGCGTTGGTGAGTTGGGCGGGCGCGGTGCCATGGCGACGCCGGCAACGGTAGACACGATCACGAAAGTATCGATGGTGGTGGCGATGCTGGCGGCGACGACGGCAAAGCCCATGACGGCGCCGATGCCATTCACGCCCGCCGACGACGATGACGATATCCTCGCGTCGGAAATGAAGGGTTTGGACGGAGTTGAACACGCGCGCGCAGCCGTCGCGCGTTAATTGCCCACGTGGTCTTACTTGGCACGGATCGTGCCCCCGAACAAAGCATGTGCGCAAGGGGTTCGCATGACTTCGACATGTTGCGCGAGAAGTTCGTCTGATATAGTGTGACGACAACGTTGAGAAGCTGATGGTTTTCTTCAGAATTCGCAAAAGCGCGCGGGCAGGCTTATTTTGAACATTGGTGCTGCAAAACCACGTGAGTTTAGTTGTGTTCGGGACACTTGTTGGAAACCCGTGCGACACCACAGGTTTTGTTACAGGATTGTGGCGATTGCGCGCGACGACGCGCGCGTTCTTTTCGGGGGTAAGCGATAACGGCTTGCTTGGGACGGTACGAATTCATTGTTCAGATGGACGATGGTTCAGACTCATTTGTAAATTACAATGGGGGAAAAATGGGTACCGTTGTTAAGTCCCGTTGGGGAGGTCGATCTTAAACACGTTTCGGTCAAAAGGGGATAGACGTTGTGCTGTCTGGGCGGCGACGGCCCAGAGCGGCGAGGAGGCGGCGACGGCGAGCACAGAGCCGCCGGACCGCCTGCCAGGGCCAGGCGATGGGCGGTGGTCGGGCGGCGGCGGGGCGGCGATGGCGAGCACGGGGCCGCCAGACCGCCGGCCAGGCCCAGACGACGGGCGGCGACGAGGCGGCGGCGGGGGGAACGACGACGCAGACGGAAGCGCCAGACCGACATTCGGGGCCAGTTCCTTAGAGGAGAAGTGCCAACATTGCTTGGGGAAGGGATCCATTTTGGACCAGTCCTGACTGCGCTGGGGGGGGGCGCGCCGGTCTCAGGACGTTCCCGGGGGATGGGGGAGCGCAATTCGTACGTATTCGTATCGTATACGGTGGACGAACAGCCGCCGCAGGAGGAGTAGATCTGATGATATAGGAGGAGCGCAGTTGGAGGAGATAAAGCGCATTAATTGAAGGATGTGGCGGAGGAAAAGAGGAGGAAGAGGAAGAGGGAGAGGAGGATGAGTAGAGGCTATGGGGCGGGGGGGCAAGAAGGCTTCACATTCCCAGCTGCATATCCGTAGCCGGGCGCACGCTTGACCCGCATTTGTTCACATCCCTCTGCGCTCGTCCCCGCCTGTCTCTCCCCTTCTGCCCCCTTCGCCCTCGAAGGCAGTGGAAGCGACACCGCTCCAGCGATGAGGTCTGCGATGCCTCCCCCACCCGAGCTGGAGGTTGGAACCGTCTCGAGCGGGACGCTGTAGAACAGTCGGAGGGCGACAACGATGCACCTGCATCGATCCTGCCAGGATGGGCCACGCCAGGTTCGGTGTGGCTGTACAGCTGGCGTCCTCCTGGGACCAGGGAGCCGCACCAGAAGCACCCCGTCCTGGCTTCCCTGGAGGGGAAGAACATGGGGACCAGCACCAAAACTGGACACGGAAGTGTCGTGTCGATCTTGGTCACCGTCCATCTTGGTCCGCGCCTGTTCGTGATTCCTCCTCGCGAGTGGGCGGCGGCCGACATGGACCATGACCAATACTTGCCTCGACGAGATCCCGCCACATGTTGGTTGTGGTCCCCGGGCTTCTTCCCTCGATCTTCGCGACAGTGACGGGGTGCCGATCCGCTTCTGCCTTCCGCCTTCTCCCTCCCTCCCAAGAGGAGGCCCCTGGGGGCGCCGCGGTTGCTCCATGGTTTCCTGTGGTGCGATTCCCAGGAGGTTGAAGTCCGCGTCTGCGCTGACCCATCCGTGGTTGACTACACGCTCGTCGTGGGAAGTAGGTATTTTTGGACCCCCGGGTCCCAATCTACTTTTGGCGCCTTCGTTTTTCAAGGATCGATTGGTTTCCTACTTCCCTCCTCTTCAGTGGCGGGAGGAAGCCCAATTTACTTCCAACGCCTTCCTACTTCATGTCTCCACCCACTTATTCCGACTGGCGTGTACTGACTTAGTTTGGCATAATCGCGTTTAGTCCGGCTAAGGGCCGTTCAGTTTGGCTCGCTCCCAGGCGCAATCTGGCCTGATCCAGCTCAGTTCAGCGAGGAGCAAGGGGCCATAATGTTGATACGGTGCTGATGCCCAATGGCCTAAATTTCCATACGGGCTGCACAAACGAGGGCCGCGTCTTGTGAGTGGGCTCAACAGCCCTTGGTCGTCTTTGCGAATACCTCCTAGGAGCTGCCTTCTAACATTATCTTGCCCTCGCGAGCGGCGCGGTCCAATAACGTTCTCGCCCAGCGTGATCAGCCTCGTGCTCGTCATCGCGGTGTTGTTCCCGCTGGCGATGCCCCATTTGAAGGACGTGCGCGCGCGGGCACCAGCTCCTCTCGAGGCATTCCCTCCCGGGGGACAGGGGGATGACACTCAAGACCGAGGTTGATCGCCTTTTTCGGCGTCTGTTGGGGGCCCTCGCCAGGCCCCAGGACCGTCAGAGAACTATCCGGGACGAAACTTCGACCTCGGGAACTGGTCCAGACCTCTGGAGACCCGCGTATGGAGAAAACCGAGATGTCGGAGGTCTATTGGGGTCTTTGCGCGTGTTTGACGGCCTCGGGCGGCCTCCGGAGATACCTGGGGACCTGTGTCCCCTCGAGCTCTTCCCTTCTGTCCCCTCCTCTCCGCGCCCTTCCCCTTCCTCGCCTCTTGCTGCTCCTCCTCCTCCTCCTCCTCCTCCGCCTAGTCCTGATCATCGCAGGCCTGTCTCCGGCCCCGGCCACGAGAACTCACCGCACCAAGCTCGGAACAGCCCCTCTGCATCTTTCCCATCGCTCTTTCCCTCCGCCCACTTCCTCTCTCCCGCTGTCCACAATCTGTCAACATGACTTCTCCTCTCGCCCAAAGACGGGAGGGGAGTCGCCCGCCCCCCTCCGCCGATTGCCTTTCTGCTCAGGGTGTCAGGCAGTTGTCTTGCCTATTGTTGTCTCAGGCGGATGATGTTCGATGTCTCAAGATGGCGCTGCCGCTGCAACCTCGGCCTCATTTCAAGATCGGCGCCTTGCTACCGTCAATTCGAGCGGCCCTCTCGCTCCAGCGCGTCCAGGGCATTTTGGATCCGAGCCTTCCCTCATCCTAGTCTCCTTTCACCTCCTCCGCCTTCTGCTGATCCTCCTGCTCCTCTCGATCCTCGTACTCAAGCTCCTATGACTGCTGTTCGTCCTCGTCCTCCTCCTTCTCATCCTTCTTGTCCCAATGCTCAACCTCCTGCCCATCCGTCGCCTCCTCCTCATCCAATGCACGTAGCCCTTTAATTCCGATTGCGCATAACACGATGGGGGCCTTTCTGGAATCCCATGTACGCTATGGCACGCGTCTGCGGATGAGAATAAATCAGCGCAATGGGAGGGGATGGGTGGGAGGGGCTGGATGTCGGATATGGCGCAAGCGCAGCTGGCTTGCCCCCCCTTCGTCCCTTTCCGCTCCTCCTCCCTCCTCCCCCGCCTCCCCTCCACTCACCCATCCTCCGAATCTGGCGCCGGCGCTGCCGCGGAGACCACCTCCTCCATTTAGCGGGCCACACTTGGCAAGAGTGTCCACGATGCCGCCCCGAGCTGAGGAGTTTTTTTTGGGTTGGAGCTGTTCTGAGGCGAACGCAGGGCGGGGGGGAGCCACGCCGTCAGGAGGATCCTGCCTGGCTCTTGCCCCTGGCGGTGACGTCGTCTGTGTGGGCCTCTCCAGCGCCAGAGGCTCCAGGCGGCATCGCGGGATCCGTTCCCAGTCGGTTGGCGGGGGCGGAACGAGCGGGCGGTGGTTATGTAGCGCCCCCCGCGAATTCATGTCATATGTCATCTTTCGAGGTGACTGTTTAAACATTTCGGTTGATGTGAATGTTTGGAGTTAGATGGGAAAACAAGAATATCGCCCTCTGTTCAAAATCAGCAGCCACCGTTTCTATTACACGCAATATCTTAGAAAACGAAGACACGCAAGCAACATGCGTTTTGGATAAGCATTGCTGATGATGCATAAGCAGGAAGTAACTGAGTGATGAAACGTACGAGGAGGGGAAAGCTAACTAGGAGGAACGACGATGATAACCTGGACTGATGGATCAAGAAGCGACGTTCGAAGAATAATGTCGAGGCGAACGCGAAGGCTGATGATGCTGACGGCCATGACGATGGTGATCTTGATGATGTTGATGCTGACTGTGATGCTGATGCTGATGCTAATGCTGATGCTCATGTTGATGCGAAGGGTGATGATAATACGACACATATACAGATAATGGTAATATTCATGATGCAGATGCTGATGACAATGCTAATGCTAATGCTGATACTAATGCTGATGGCGATCATAATAATCATGATGATGGTGATGATGCCGATGCTTATGCGTATGATGATGATGATGATGATGATGATGATGATGATGATGATGATGATGATGATGATGATGGTGATGGTCGTGATGATGGCATTGATACTGACGACGATAATTCTAGATGAAACTAAAGTAATGGTCATGATAAAGGTGACGACGACTACGACTGTGGTGGCGATGGCGATGACGCAACAGGTGATGATGATTGTGATGGCGATGGTATTGGTGGTGATGGTGATGGTGTGAGAAGGGGGATGTGGATGTTGATGCGGATGACGATGACAGGCTGCAAAGCTCAACTCAAACATGCCATGATTGAGTATATCGAGCCACGCCGCAATTTTCACCATCAACATCACCATCGTCGACGCAGGCGCCGTTGTCACACATATCCATATCATATCGTCTCCACCCGAGGAGGAACCGCGGCCGAAAGGGAAGGGGACCAGTTGGGAAAGTGAGCGGGGGGGAGAAGGACAGATAGATAGAGAGAAACACAGACATGACGAGAGAGACAGACATATATAGAGAGAGAGATGGGGGAGAACGAGAGAGAAAGAGAGAGAGAGAGAGGGAGAACGAGGGGGGAAACAGTATCCGAACGGCAGGGAGATAACGATAACGCCTGGCGCGGTAGCCTGGGATGGACCAGCCCCTAGGATGGCAGGCGAACGTCATTTTCTCTTCGGGGGATGCAATTGTAATCGCGCAGAGGAAAAACACATAACGCGAACAAAAAAAACGTGGCTAGATGCACGGCCCTCGGCGCGGCGGCTCGCCAGACCTGATTGGCGGGAAGGTGGGTGCGCGCGAGGACATTGGAGATGCGTCGGCAGGGGCGCCCAGTGTGAGCAGCGAGCTCGTCGCTCGCTGTGCACGTGTACAGTCGAACACCATAACAAGGACCCGCGACTTTGCTCAGGATACCCTTGCGTCCTTGCTCTTCCTCGCTCTTGCGTCCTTGGGGTTTCCGTCGCCCGCCACCCTTTGCCAAAATTACCAATTTCGGCTTCCAAGGGTCTTGCGTCCTTACCACGCGCCCTTATTAGGGTTTTCGACTGTATGTCGCCAGGCATAGTTACCATGCCCCCCAGCGCCACCTCCATCGGGGGCGGCGCGGTGGGGGGGGGCGCGGGCGGACGCGAGAGGTATTGGGCAGCCCGACTATCTCGCCACACATGTTTGGCCACGGGCGATCCGCCGCATCATGTGTTGTTCCGAATCCGTCAGCGCGCGGGTGCACCGACAGGTTCACAAAACAGCTTCGGCCTAGGCAATCACATGTGACACGCGCGCCAATCCTAACACCGCGCCCATCATACGTCAGCGCAGTGAACGCGAACACTGCTCGCACAACGGTTTCTTTTTGTGCATGAATCTATAGATATAGGTGTATGTGTATATATGACTTTCTTTGAAGATAATTGTGCCTCATCTCTCGCTTGAGCTCGACCGCATGCGTATGTGCTCAAGTTTTTTCGGCAGGAGCCCCGTCCGCGCCCCTGCATGGCCGCGGCCGTGGAGCTGGTGGGGCTCGGCGCGCGGCTGGCCGAGGTCTGGCTGCTGCGCGGGCCGGCCTGCCCCGCGTGCCCGGCTTGCCCGACCCAGACCTGCACGCTCACGTGCAGTGGACCGGCCACCTCCCACACCGAGCCCGCCGAGGCGCCCGCGCTTGCCGCCGGGCCGGGCTGGCTGGCGGTGTGGCTGGCCGCCGCGGCCGGGGCCGCGGGCGCGTGGGCACTCGGGCGCCTGCGGCTCTTCGCCAGGCCGCCCGCCGCCCGCGCCGAGCCGCCGGCCCCGCCGGCGCTGCTGCCGGCGCTCGCCGCCTCTGCCGCCCCAGGCCCTGTGGCAGCCTGCCAGGCCTCGGCGCCAGGGCCAGTGACGCCCAGCCAGCGGCGGGCGCGGGCCCAGGAGCAGGATGGATCGTAGCGTCCCGGACGTTCCGGAGGCGCAGGTCCTCATCGACTTCATGGACGACGAGAACGGGCTGCGGTGGCACGCGAGGCTCCTCATCATCCAGACGCCCACGCCGGGGGTCTGGATCGGGAGCACGCCCGACTTCTCGGTCCAGCGGATCGACCTGAATGTGCACCGGGTGATCGCCCTCGCTCGTGGGCAGCCCTACCCGCCGGCGCAGTGGGCGGAGTCGTACGTCTTCGACAATCCCATCCCCGACGCCGACCTGAGGCGCGTCCGGCAGCAGGCGGCCGCCCTGGCGGCCGTGTTGGGCCAGGCCCCTCCCGCGGGCCCAGCCGCCCCGGGCGGCGTGGGGGTGTGGCGCGTCGCCGACCCCGCCGCCCGCAGCTTCGGCGACGAGGTGCCGGCCCAGATCCTCACGGACCGTGCGACCTTCATGACTCCCGAGGTCGCTGCCGACGAGGACTACCTGAGTGGCCTCGTCTTGATTGACAACTGCTGGACCTTCTGCCAGCTCGTGGGCGACGATGACCGTGCTGCCTGGGAGCGTGCGCTGGTGTCTGGCAATCGGCGGGACGATCGCGTGACAGGCGACGCCCGCGAGCCCATCTCGGGCCGACGCTTCATCTCCTTTGCCGACTCGTTCGGGCTGCAGCACGCTGCCGCCGAGCCGCCCTTCCCGCTGAGCGGCAGTCGGGTCACCCACGAGTTTGTGAAGACGCTCCGCGCGACTGGCATGGAGTGGATGTCTCACCACCTGGACTTCATCCACAAGTCGGGCATCTCGCCCAACAGCAACATCACGCGCGCACATCGGAGGCTCACAGAGGCGCTGCACGCCTTCCAGCAGCAGGACATGCTGAACCTGCCAAGCCTCTCGGGCGTCGAGATTCTGGTGCGCTACCTCGTGCAGATCGAGATGGCGGTGGCCCGCAACCCGCGCAGCCCGGACTTCCAGGACCTCGACGCGGTGGTGGCCTCGACGGTCAACGAGTATGGCGGCCTCGTCCTTCCCGAGTACTCCAAGTACATCGCTCAGATCCAGAAGGACGAGGCCTT